ATCATTTGGAAGTAATCATGAATTTGAATCAAGGATACACCCATTTTGGGGTTTTCAGGTAGTTTTTCCCGGTGGCAAGAGGGTGGAGAACTGTTAGGAAGTAGTATAGATGCCCGGCTATGATTCCAAGAAGATCTGGCATGATCTTAGAACCGAAGATAACATCGAGTGCTAGCATTGCCCACGGGAGGTAGAAAGCCTGTGGAGTGATTCCAGGTTTCACCATTAATAATTATATACTAAAGAGTGGGTTCTTGATTATGCTAACAAAAGAAACACTATCAATACCTTAAGAGTCACAAGACCGTATAAACTGATGTTAGCATTTGGAAATTCTCGGCTCCAGAGATATAAAAGCATGAATACAAGCGAAACTCCAAGGAACGGTGTCCAGAAAAATGGTATGGCTGATACAACCTGAAATTTCGAACATGGTAATAGTTTTAACTTACGGATTCACAAGTATATGTATAACGCCTCCCAAAACTTGTCTAACTTTTCAATAGTTAACCCTGACTTGAATCTTCAAAAAGCTTCTGATTATCTCAGCTCTGGGTTCTCTAAGACTTATGTATCGGCTATTATCTACTTTGTGGTGTACCATACTGGAGTTCTCAAAGAATCAGTAATGATAATTGGTTGGAATAGAATTAAAAGGAGAATTTTACATACCAATAGAGTCAAGGATCCAAAGATCATCATCCACAGAAAGTCAGCCGTCCGCCTTTCAAATGGCCCTTTCTCGAGTTGAACTCCATATCTTGCTCTGTACAATCATTTTAGAGAGGATGTTACAACATAAAGCGAAACTTGCTTTCTGTATATACTAATGAAACCTTATACTCACATCATCAAAAGCCGTATTCCGAAATTGATAGAGAAACCACCAAGGAAAAACAAGTTTGTTATCAGCCTCCAGACCTACAAAGCAAACCCCAAACAGATCAAATCGCAAGACAAGATAGGTACTTAGGAATGCGAGAGAGAAAGAAGAATCATAAGAGAAGATCTCTTTCTACCTGAAACTTCTGAATCACAAGTTGAGGAACCCATGCAATGTGAACAGGACTAACTAAGCCCAGATGAGAGGCTGTCGTAGCCAGGAGGCACAGAGTACCATAAACCTTGGTTATTGGTGGAAGTGAGTTATAGAATCTGCAATCAACAAAACCAAATAACAGGCACTGTAAGAAACAATTTTGTGTTACCATTATCAGTATTTCTAAGCAAAAGATCACAATCCTAGCTTCAAGAGACCATGAGATTCCATCATATCAAGAAGTACCAGTTTACTTCTACTAATCAATTGCATAGACGATGTTTCTTACATCTCAAATCAACCACCAAAACCATCAAATGATGACTATTCAAATAGACATAAGACTCGCTCGGTGTTGCAAAGTACGGTCCAATTAAGAAGAAACAAGAGTTGATGAATGCTTCAAAAACCTAACCGCAAAGTGAACGAAATCAAAAGGAAAACGGTAGAATCATGAAATTGCTTAATCCCAAGGATCGGAAAAACTCAGGGCACGAACATTTCTAATCAACTAAAAAATCTCTCAAATCGAAATCGAATTCGAAACGAAAGTAAAAAAAAGGAAGGTCCGAGGACTCAATCGATAGAGAGAGAAACGGAGGACTCACTCGCCGGGAGAAGACATAGTCGTCGGGTTTCGAAGATCCGAGGTTCTTGAGGTACGATTCGAGATCCGATAGATTC